CAAAATTTATAGGCTGGGGTAATATGAGTTATGATAATAGTCAGAAGGTATTATTTAGATCGCCAGGATGTTCTTTATCTTAGTTTTTTTTCATAATAACTAGTATTAAAATTAATATTGTACAAGCAGAGGTCAATGAAGTGGAATTGATACTCTGGAAGAAGAATAATGAAAGTATCGCCGTATTTTGCTTCGTTTCTTGGACTATATTTGGGGTAAGTTCTGAAAACTTCGAATTCCCAAACAGAGTTTTATCAGTTACCGCATCAATATACCATAAAGTTATCAGTCACACGATGCCAGATTTCATGCTTCGAGGCACCACGTACCTCACTTCAGTCTTGTTGTGGCGTCGTAAGAATCAGGCAGACAGACAGTCAATCTCCAGCAGTCGTCCAGGACCGCCGTGGAAATGCTGAAACGAGAGCAGATCGAAACCTCTCCACTCGTCTCACGCCATTTCAATCTATCACCAGATTTCGATTGTGGTCGAGTAGGACTTCCCACCGTCGACAAACAAAGGCGCTGTACAAACAAAGTCCACGACGAGCTACGTCCAGACAGACAGACAGACAGACAGCAGTAGTAGTCTCGTAGAAAATCGATGAGGAAAAAGTTCCGATTCTCTACAATGTGGAGCTCCACTACGAAGGAGACAGAATGAGGCCAGATGCTGCGTCAATGCTCGACTACGGTGGCTGTCGTGTGCCCAATTCCGTGTACGCTGCAGCAGCAAGTAATGGAAAAAAAGGAAAAGGAAGGAGCGACACTTGGATCGATGCGAGCTCACTCATCCATCCATACGTAGGCAATAAAATAGTGCGAGCTCAACTGGGCTGGGCTGGGCTCGCTCGCTAGCGATGTACCACTGTACGAAGGCGGAATCAGATTAGTTGCATGCGGTACTAACAACGAAGATAAGCTCCATGCAATACGCAAAACTCTAGCACCGAATAATATTATATGGGCTTGATGAGGTCAGAGTGTAAATATCACCCGCATGTCATTATTCCGCGCTCGGAGAATCGTTCTGCTGGGAGGGGAGGGGAGGGGAGGGGAGGGGGGCTGCTGGTAAATGAGGATCGGGAAACGGTTTCTTCTTCGAGTCCAGATAACTGGATTTGCTGGACGGACTGACTAACTGCTGGCGGTGGGGTGGGGTGGGGGGGAGAGGTGGGGCTGGCTGGGTGGCTGGGTGGCTGGCGGTGGAGGGTTAGATTTGACTCTTGCCAGCAACAGCAGCAACATCATCATCCACATGGCGATTCGACATGTTTTGTCGAGGGAGAACAGTTGCGAGGAGGGAGCAAGCGGGCGATTGGAGGGGCGCAGATAAATGTCTTTGAAAAAGCTTGAAGTGGCTGGCGTGGGTTATGGTTCAATGGGAGGGAGGCTAGCTTGGTGCAGATGATTCTAGCACAAATTAAGAAGATTTGTGCTTGTCCTTTAGCCATTATTTGGCTCGCTCGCTCGCTCGCTCGCCCTTGTGCTACAGATGTGCGCCTGACGACATGGTTTCGGTCGAGCTCACTATTGGGACTGACTGACTTGTGTCGAAGATTTTATCTGGATGGGTTTCGGACATGAACGACACATGATCCCAATGGCATGCAGACCTTTTTCAAAACTACCTTGACTTTGAAATGCAGCGGCATCAAATGGTGAGATGAGGTTTGAATCAGACACTAATCTGGACACAAAGCGAGTGCGAGGGTCGGTCATCAGACATGATGAGAAATAGTAATTTTTACCTGCATTCCATTACGCCTCTTCACTGTGTGTCGTCCTAAATCTGGTGCCTCCGGTGCTAATCCCGAGATGGCAGACATTTTTGGAAGCAGGGGCTGGGCATCTTATAATGAGACGGCTCGCCTCGACCCTTCATGAATGAATGATACCGGCCCACACAAGGGCTCGAGGACGGAGGGAGAGGGAGAGAGAGACAGAGAGAGAGCGAGCGAGAGGGAGAGATAGTATTGTCAAGTCTCGGAGTGCTTTTCTCCATCGCTGCAACAGCAACACCAGTTACCATCGCTGCAGATCAGATCATATCAGGCCAGGTCAGGTCAGAGCAGAGGCAGAGCAGTGCAGTGCAGAGCAGAACAGTTCAGTTCAGTTCAGTTCAGTGCAGCACAGCGCAGCACTCCACTTCTGAAGAAACGTCCGAGGAAATAGATCATTTTGGTCATGTCTGTAAGGGAACTTGGCTCTCGAGAATTCTCCCATCATCACCCCCATCAGCATCATTATCATCAGTACATCACCACGAGATCTATCTAGCTTTCCAAATCTCTGCCGTAGCATCTGCTGTTAAAACTCTCGAGAATCCCCTCGCCCCCCTCACTCGCTCTCGAGTGACTATTTTCTTCTCCCCCAACCCCCAACCCCATCCACCTCTCGCTTTCTCTCTCCCGCTGTCTGCCACCAACAGCAGCAGCACCACCTCCACCATCGCCACCTGTGCCTCAGAAGCGGATCACGGCGAAACAGTTAGAGGTCCAGCGCAGGGCGGAAGAGGAAATTGAGGGAGGCGAGAGTAAAAACCAGGAAATACACGGCCGAAATATCGGTCGAGGGGGTTACTGGGGGGTTACTGGGGGGCAAAGGTAGGTGACGTCGAGAAATCAGTATTGAAGTGGGGCTTAGCTTTTGGGAAGGAATCATTGCCCCGTAGGCGCAGTAGGCTGCCAGAGGCACAGTCTAGAGCTAGAGTCTAGACGACGAGGCGCGAGGGGCTAGCGTCCGGAGGTTAGGGTTTGTGTAATGTTCTCCTCGTTGTCTCGGCGCGGTGACAGTGTGCTGGTGACAGCTTTATCTGGATTTATAAATGGATTCTGCCGCAGGCTCGAATCGCAAGCATATGCCCTCGCCCCATGGACGTACATGCCGGAGGAGAGAGAGAGAGAGAGAGGGGGGGAGGGGCCGAGCTGACCGAGCGTACTTCTGGATGTGAATTCCCAGGAGCATTTTCCCCCTGCTGCCGCACTTTTCTCGCCCCTCGTCCTGTGCGCATCGGAAAGCGAGACGAGACGATTTGCGCAGCAGCGGCCCAAGAGTCCAATTTGTTGACAAGGGGGGGGGAGGCGGGGGAAAGCTTCGGCACCTTCTTCGAAAGCTCCGCCCAGCCCCGCCCCGCCTCGCCTCGCCTCCCCTATCGCGTCGTCGGCCAGAGCGCAGCTGCCGAATGGGGTGGGGTCGCCGAGCAACAACAACAGAAGATGGAATGAGTGCCCAGACAAAGTTGGGGCATTTGGCATGGCATGGCTCCATTCGATGGTCCAATTGCAGCAGTGCTTTGTCCGCGGTCTTCCTCGCGAAACTCTACGAGCGGCAGGAGCAGTGGCTAATCATAGGCGCCGCACTCTCACTCGCACTCTCTTCGCTTCGCTTCGCTTTCGAAGGCAGTGGGCAGGCAGAGCAGACGAGGAGAAGAATCGGATATCAGCAGTCGAAGGCACTCGATTCTAAAGTGCTGCGTTAGCCGCTGTACGATGCGTGCGCACTCGGATTGCACTCGAGGCGGGCGGATGGAATACATCTCGAAGTTGGAGTCTGTTGCTTGAGGCGAAAAGGCTATGGGGCTGGGGCTGGGGAGAGGATATACGCGATCCGATGGGAGCAAGCAATAATGGACACAGCAGAGCGCGCGCTGGAGCGGGAGCTCGCATTTATCCAGCGAGCTGGCCGAGAGGGGAATTAAAACAAATTCCAGGAGCGCAAGTCGTTGCGCAGAGTCAAGGACGGGCGGGGGGCTGTTGAGCAGCAGCAGAAGTGTCATGCGCCATCTCGAGGAACGGAAAGATCTGAATGAACATAGATGCTCATCTGCTCATAATCCGAGCCACACCGTATTGCGTATTCGCAGCTGACACCCCACCTGGCAAAAGCGTTTTGAATTCGCCATGATAGCCTGTCCTGACGGGCCATTGTTAGTGTGAGCAGAGCCCCTCCTAAATTTGCGATCCGACAAGTGAACTGCCCCTATTCCAGGGCCAGACAGCGTCTGACACCATTCGCTTTCCCCTTTACCCCTTCCGCTACCGCACCCCCCGCCCTTCAAGGGGGGAAGCAAAAGGGGACGGGGGCTCCGGCAGCGACCGGACCCGATCCATCGCTCTGTCCGTCCGTCCGTCCGTCCTGGGGGGTTGGGCTTGGGCTTGGGCTTGGCTGCCGGGAAGACGACAAGCCCGCCCCGCCTCCGAAAGCCGGAGGGGGGGGGGGCTGCGTGTCCGGGCTGGGTACCGTCGCTTCGTTGCGGGCGAGCCCCATCTGCCGCTGTGGGGGGTAGGCGCCATCTAGCCCCGAATTGTTGTGTGATGCGATGCAGCAGGCAGGTAACAGAGAGTCAGAAGGACAAGCGCAGCCTTCAGGGGGTGGGGGTGGGGGTATTTACTCCCCTCGCCGCTCGCCGGTGGGGCCTGCGCTCGCCATCAGCAGCGGCCAGAGCGGCCCATGCCTCCCACACCTGCCGCCATTGTTCCCTAGATATCCAACATCGTCTTGCGGGTGCGATTGGGTCGATTGGGGCTCGCCTGCCCGCGTGGGGTCGGACATCGGGGACGGCTCGGTACAGTGCGCCAGTGGTGGGGCGGTGGTGGTGGTAGGGTACAGCAACGAAGAGAAGGGAGCGCTGGGCTGGGTCGGTCTGGGTCCGGGGGATAGGAATGATTACACGGCGGCTAGGACAGTGGAACAGCTTAAACGCCGACGTGTAGAGAGAGGAGGGAGGGAGGAAGGGCCTCGTCACGAGCCGTAGAGGGGACAGATAGCTGTGTAGAGGAGCAGATGCCCTTGTCGTCTTGTATGGAATTTGCGACATTTGATTTGACATGGGACAACGACGCCATGAGAAAGCCCACGAAAGCAGGGACGAGAAACGAGAATGGAATGAGTAATGAATGGTACGAGAGCGAGATATGCAGATGCTAGATAAATAGATTTAGAGATGTAGATATGGAGACATGAGCGGGACAGCAGAATGTTTTCACCAAACCGTATTTACAATCATACAATCCCTTTCGGGTTTGCATAAATGAATTCTTCGCACACCATTTTACATGTGCCATATGGCGTAGTGTTTAATATGAATGTATCACAATTCAGCAGTAGCAGCAGGAACAACTGACTTCTGGCTGAGACCAGTGGACGACGGCCGAGCCTCGCCTACACAGCCAGCAGCCGGAGCGGCTACAAATACCAGAGATCCTCGATCTTTCCTAGGGGCCTGCTTCTTCCAAGGAACGTGACCAAAAAAAGGGGCACCAGCTAACATTACAATGTCCCCTTTCCCCAGTAGAACAAAACAGGGGAACAAGGCCGGAACATGTCCGCAAGCTCTGTCTCTCGGGGACAACGACGACGGACGAGTGCATGCGCGCGAGTGAATGAGTTCAGATGGGCGACTGCGACAGAGGGAGTTGAGTAGAGTCGAGAGTGGGGGGTATGTCGAGTGATGTGGTGACTGAAGCTGGTGGTGGGTGGTGGATCCTGGTGCTGTCCTGTCCTACTAGAGACCCAAGAACCGAACCGAGCAGAAAGATTTGCCAGCGGCAGATCGCAGACGAGAATGAGAATGAGAGAGTGAGACAGAGATTGAGAGGCCAGAGTCCCCGTCCTCGATCGGCTAGCTGGTTGATGGGCTTCTTCTAGTAAGTAGAACGAACACTAATCTTCTTCTTCTTCTTCTTCAAAGGGTCTTTTCTATCTTTTCCTTCTACGCCTGCACTGCCGACTTCCTCGTGCACAGATAGATCGATCACAGTCTCTTCTTCTTCTTCTTCTTCTTCTTCTTAATCTTCTTCCCCTCCTCCTTCATTATTCGAAGAAGCGAATGAAGCGAATGAACCTGCTTCCTTCCTTCAATCGTTCCAAACTGCAAAAATGGGCATATGGCCGACGCTTAAGTGGCCCGCTGCTGACACCCGCTGATTCAAATTTCCTTGGGGGCTCATCCACGATTGGTTGCCTAACGAACTGTTGTCGTAGTTGTTCGTCGACTTGGCGCTTCCATTCGGGGGCGACTGCCCATGGGACAAGTAGAGTATATGCCTGCTCAGATCCCCTTGCGGAAAGTTCTCGTAAGCCGACCCTCCTCCGCCTCCTTGGCCCCCACTCTTGGAGCTCTCGTCCTCGCTTTGTTGTTGCTCCCGCAGCGACTTGGGGCTCTGCGCCCCCGGGAACCCCGAGCTGCCGCCCATCATGGTGCTCGAGGGCCCCGGCAGCGCCAGCATGCCGCCCGAAGACTCGCTCCCGCTCGTCCCCGCGTCGCTCAGCCCCATCAGGTTGCGCAGCACCGCCGAGTGCATGTTGCCCGCCGGGGACTGCAGGAATTTGTGCCCCAGCGAGTCCGAGATCAGTGACTGCGTCCTCACATCCTGCTGCTGCTGCGCTTGCGCTGCAGCGGCCTGCTGTTGCTGCTGCTGCTGGTGGTTGGCATCGTCCCAATTGCGCTGCGTCTGCTGCTGATGGTACAGCATGTGCCACTCCTGCAGATGCGACTTCGACACCAGCCCGTCCGTCACCTGGCTGGTGTTGGTGTTCCCCGTTTGCAAGCTCTGGGAATCCTCGTCCGTTTGATGACCGTCGACGCTCGGATCGCTGGGCTGCTCGGGGGGCACCGCCGCCAGCTCCTTGGTGCTCGCCGCTTGCACCTTGGGCGACTCGCCATCGGCCGTGTTGTGCGCCGTGCCACAGATCTTCTTCGTGTCGTAGCGGCTGATGTCGAAGTTCGTGACCGCGTTTATTCCTCGGAACTTGATCGCTGCTATGTCATACGCCTCGGCCGCTTCCTCTTGCGTGCCTGGATCCCACCGTCGCATTTACAAAACACCACCCAACAACACACACGTACACACACAGTCGTCCAGCGATCGATCAGTCCATGCCCATTTTGTCATATCATCAATTCCACTCCATTCCATTCCATGAGCATTAATGAGAAACACTAACACTAGCATGAGTACTCTCCCAACCACCCCGAGATTCCACCCCATTACCAATTCGGATCGATAAGTTCCGACAAGCCTGCAGCAGGCATTAAAGCACACTGTGCGTGTGGCAAGCCTGTAGTTCGCCATTTCCATGATCAGAGAGAGGGGAGCTGTACAGCCCCTTTCAGCACGATGGCTTTGCATCCTCTCGCTGTTTGTATGATGCAACGGGGTCCCCACTTCCATTCCATGGGCTCGTGAATGAACTAAGTGCACAGTGAAATCACAATGCCACACGCTGTAGTGCAGGGCTCCGATTGGATGCGACCTGACAGCATTGATGCATCCCCGCCTTAAGCGATTCCCTTCCATTCGTTCATTCAAGGCTCACTGACCGACCGGACTTCGAAGGGCAAATTTTTCTCTCTTCTGGGACCTTCATGAGCGAAGCTCGACCCATCAACCAACCCCGAGGTCACACCAGAATGACCGATCAGTCAGTCAGACTGTGGCTCCCTTCGCGTCGGATAAAGCTATTCGACATCATCGCATGCACATCCACCGACTTCTCAACCAAGAGAGCTAGATCAAACGAAGCTTAGTGCGTGCATGGGCAGAGAGATTGGAGAGATTGGAAAGAGAGAGAGAGAGAGAGAAAGTCCACTTTCCTGAAGGCAGCGGATCATGTACGTGTTTAGGAGGGAGAGACATTCAAGGACGTGGGACGAGCACTCACTGTATGTTCCCAAGTACAAGTCTTTGTTACCAGCAACGCGGCCTATTCGTGCCTGCCAGCGACCGTGCTGATGGTGTCTGCGGACGGCGAAATCGCACAAAGTCAAAGTTAAGAGTAAATTCGCCAGAACAACAACTTCCTCTCGGGGAGAAACAATCACTGTGCGCCCACGACTGAAATTCATGTTGCACATCCACGTCTCGGCCATGGTACCATAAGCAAGATATCGCAAGCATGAGGCACCCTAACCAGGAGGTAAGGATCAGACATGGAAGGCCAATTATTATTGCATAATACACTGCATGGGCGGGGGATAGTATGGCACCTGGTCACTCCTCGGTAGACAGAAGCTCCTCTGGAGAATCCACTGCTTTTCCTGCATAATTCACGACGAGGCGGAGGCCGGTCAGCTGACGATAGCGATGATGATGACGATCAGACAGGAGACGGGAGATAGAGCTAAATTTGGGCGGACGAGATCACCGCAACACTTACGTGCCCTTCCACTTTCACCGTACCGAGATCTTCTCGAGCCCCCGGGGGCTGAAACCTAGAGGGAGGGGGGTGGGGTTGGGGGTGCACAATAATGATAAGCGCTTCTCCGTACAAGGTACGTTATCAGACACGAAAAAGCTTAGATTATGGATCATGGTGGCGGAAAATGACTAGAATCGATTAAGGACGGCATCAATCGTACAAGCAAGCACCTTAAGGTTCGGGTCGAGGGGAGGGGAGGGGAGCTGACGAACACAGGAGGAGAAGCACAAGAATGGAGGAGGGCGAATATTGGCGCAACTGACCTTCGCAGAGATGCCACGTATTCCTGGCGAGTCATATTCTTCATCTCCTCGAGCTCCTTCTCATACTGGTGTATCTGCATGTCGATCCATCACGACGCCCTTCATTAATTACCATGAGTATGTCTGCCTACGTGCGTGCCGACAGTACACTACGAGCACCGCGCGGGCGAGCGAATCCTCTCAGGGAGGGCTTCGTCAGCTCGTGTTAGGATGCCAGTCAACCTACGTACAGGAGCCCCCTCGACCTAACTTCATGGAGGAGGTCAGTCAGACAGACTCTCGAGCCAGCACCACTGTTGCTGTTAGGAACGTGTTTCGAATTCCACACGTTTTTCGACCATTCCTTCCTTCTCTGCGAGAATCTCGTCATTTAGTTCGGGCCGGGGCGAGCGAGCGCACGAGCCTTGCACCACCACCACCACCTTGACGAGCGGAAGGAAGGAAGGAAGCAAGAGTAGACACCATCTGCCTAACGTAACATGAACATGACCCAAATCGAAACATGCTCCAGCAGCAATCTGACCTCGCACACACACACACACGCACTAGCAGACACTCGGATAGGTTGATGTACCGGAAAGTTGATGGTCGTATTCGGACCCCAGTACTTGAGGGCAGCGAGATCGTAGGCTCGCGCAGCCTTTTCCTCTTTATCGTATCCACCTGCAAGCGAACAGCGAACAGCATCAATTAGCCACTGTGAAAGTCTCAGAACGTCACATCGGCGGCTAGACTCCACTCTCTTTTCGGCAAAGCCTGCAGGAGAAGCTTGGGCATCGCCATGACGAAGGTACTATAGGGGGGCAAGGGCTGCTTACCAAGATAAACTGAAGATTTGGAGAGCCATTGACAGCGGCACATGCACAGACCACAACGCCGGAAGAAAAGCTTAGTACATGAACTGCGATGATTCTGATAGCCGTGCCAGAAATAAGGTAACTGATCGATTGAACGAACGAAAGAGTGAATTAGCGAGAGAACGAAAGCAAGGCGACTGACCTTGTCGTCCCTTTCGGGTTTGTCCCTCCTTGCGGCAACTGTTGTCCCAGAGATGAGCCTCGTAGCGCCCCGTCCAACGATGCCTGGCAAAATCAGGACCCACCCACAAGACGGCCTCGTTAGTACTTCCGAGAAATGGTATAAAAATTCAGTAAGCTACGAATCCCTAATCGATTTCGTGACTCGGACCGAACGCCACACCGATTCATGACTCGTCCTTTTTCAGAGCTTCGTGTCCGTGTCTAGACACTTGGGGCTACAGTAGGGCACAATGATGAGGAGGATGGGAATTCCGGTTCGAATAATATCATTGATTTCGCGCCCCGCCGTGACCATGGATGTCGCGGCGAGAGAGCAGGAATCGGACGAAGGTGACACAGCTGTCGGTATTTCTAGTGGGGGTTGGCGTAGAGGGACATGATATCAGATCGACGGAGGGAAGAAATTGAGAGGAAACGAAGAGAGGGCGATCAATTGGAGCGCACCTGGTCACTCCGCGGAAGACAGAAGTGCGCTGGCCGAAGGTGTCGATGGATTTGCGAGGCGAGGCCTCCTTGCTGCCAGCGCGCCCGGCTCCGCGCTTGCGAGTCTCCGGGGAGGTCTCGGCGGTGACATTGGGGGGCTGGGCGCCCACCAGAGTGTTGCTGGACTGGGAGCCGGGGCTCATGGACAGCGACAGAGATTGATGGACGCCGGCAATGTTGGGTATGCAGCTGGCCTTGCCGAGCCCCTGCTGCTGCTGCTGCTGCTTGTTGTCGGCGGAGCCCAGCGCGTTGACGCCGCCCGAGCCCGTGGCCGATTGGCTCTGGCGCAGCCAGGTCTTGAGCGCCGAGAGGTTGGAGCTCTGCAGCGAGCAATCCTGCAACATTTCGGCCTGGGCGGACCCCGGGTGATGGTGTTGATCGAGAGCCGCCTGCAGCAGATTCTGAGCGTGCACATTGGTGTGGCAGAGATTCGGCTCCGCTGCAGTGTTGTTCCTTGAGTGAGAGTCGTACGGTTGCTGTGTGGAAGAGTTATCAGTCCGCTGCAAGCCGTACGCATGGAAACTGGGAGGCACATGATTGGCCTGTTGCTGGGCACCACCAGAGTAAGGACTCAGATTCACATTGATGTCCCGGAAGTACAAGTTCTCGAAATTGTGGGACTGTGAATCTGATCGGTTGGTGTATTGACCTCCCAGCGACGAAGCTCCTCCCAAAAAGTCTTCCAGTTTCGGGCCCGAGTCATGGTCCGACTTATTGGATTGGGAACCCAGTGAATCATATTGGTTCTGCGTGATCTGTTCACTAGGTGCTCTGCTGCCCGCCAGCCTCGAGAGGTCGGCGTTCAGCAAATGCTGGGAGGGGTGCTGCACATGACTAGTCTTGAGCTGGGCCCAATCTGCACACCCACCACAATTGCCCGTCAACAACAACACAATCAGTCATCCGATTCATCCCCACCCCCATCCATGTCCTTACCCTCAGGACTTGCACGCCTGCATCGTCAGGTGCATTCAACAAAGGCATTTCCGTGCTCATGCGCACGAATCCTCTTCCGCTGGGAATCGTCCCAACAATTTCGCTCGCGCATGCGACCTCCCCCTCCCGAACCTGCTTACTTCTTCGGCTGCACACTGAGCCTCGGGATTTCGCCCAGCTCGGGGCAAAATTGACGGCCGGAGCAGCGATACATGGGGAGTAGAATGCGAGGAGCTTGCGAGAGGGCACGAGCCCCGATCATAATTCAACGATGACGGGAGCACAGCGAGCTGGGCGAGGGGCTGAGAAGGTGACAACCCTAGTCCGAGGAGCTGGAGAGCGGGGGCAGGACATGAAAAATGGAGAGAGCAGCAATTCCAAAAGACGGCACGAGAGGAGGGGAAGAAAAGGAGGAGGAGAAGGAGAGCTTACCTCCACTATGAGAGCGACTCAACGCCTCCATAATACAAAGCGAGCCATCTGGGCGCATGGACAGGGTGTCGCCGTCCGACTGTCCAAGGTTGTAGCATTCGCCCGATGGTGCTCCGTTGTAGGACAACCCATTCTCCGCTGAAGAATGTTGAGCCATCTTAGGACCATTAGTTTGTGCGGAAGGCGCATGATCGGGCACATCAATGGTCAAATGGGGCGATAGAGAGAAGGCCAACCAGTTGTTGACCGACCTCATCGACCTATCTTCAGCTACGAAATTTCCCAGCTTGACTGCTTGCGAGAAACAGCGGAGATGGGAAAATGGGATCGAAGGCGATCGGTGGCTAAGACGCCGGTGCTCTACCCCAGAACCGAACTCCGAGATACCACTCGTCTTCTTCTTCTGACAGGTTTTCGTAGGTCAAGATATCCGTTGCCCACATTGGCAGACACGGCCTTCTGCTCCGGACGAGGCTCTCAAGATTCGCCTGCTGCTGCTCGACGGAAGAACGGGGGCTCCGAGACTCGCATGGGAACTTGGGAAGATGGGGGTTGGGGTCGGTGCGGGGAAGAAGAAGATGAAGAAGAAGAAGAAGAAGAAGAAGAAGAGGGGGCTGGGGCTGGGGCTGGGCTTGGGCTTGGGGGGAGGGGGGGTGCGAATGTACAAGTGCGACCGGACAGTAGGCTCAACGAGCTGAAATCGCCTGGAAGCCCAAATTACAGATGTGGCGACGGACCTCTCGAGCTCTAGGAGCCTTCAATTCCCGGGGAAAAATTCGTGGCAAAGGGGCAGTGCGGCTGCCAACTGGCGGGCGGTGTGAGAAGACTGGAGTGAGGGCTTGTGTCCGGAACTCGAGATTTCCTCAGCAATGCGCGAATGACAGCGCCTCTCTCTCTCGCTCTCGCTCTCGCTCTCTCTATCTCTCTCTCTGGGATGATGGTGAAGACGATTTTCTAGTGCTTAAGCTGGGGCTTGTTGCTGGCAAGGATAAGTGAGGGTGGTGGTGTAAGGGGTAGAAGGGAGAAGTGGTGGTGGTGGCGGCGGTGGTGGTAGCACCCCGTCCTCAACTGAAGCGCTATACAAAGATCTTCCTGAAACAAAACGTCACACCTCAGGACTACTGCATGCCAATTCGGATTAGCGCTTTCCTTTCAACTAGAACCATGGGCTGGTTCAGCACTGAACCTCACAGGAAAGGCCCGCATCAATATTATCATACTACTGGCCTCGAGGCGGAATCCAAAGCAGCCAACTAAACCCATAGCAGAAAGAGCGAGCGAACCAGGACTACCACACCCCACTACGACACAGCTTCGAGTGGATCAACCAACACGACCACAACGACACGAACGACTGCGCAGCACAGCACACAGCAGCGGCACTTCTCTCCACCTTCTCCTCTCCTCTCGTCACAGGCTTCCCTTCCCTTCCCTTCCCTTCCCTTCCCTTGCCTCTCGCCTCGCCTTGCCTTGCCTTGCCTCGCCTTGTCTGGCCTTGCCCCTCTCCTCTACTACTCCGCTCGACCGCCCGCCACCACAGCCACAACCGAGTGCAAGTGCGTGAGTGAGTGCGTTCAATCCTTACTCGTCTTCCTCTCCTTCTTCTTCCCTGGGCCTATGTTTTCGATTCGCTTCTCATTCCCCTCCTCGTCTCTCTCTCTCCCTCTCTCTCCGTCTTCCTCCTCTCCCCTTCTCGTCTCGACTCGACTCGTCGCGACTCAGTTACTAGACAACTCTTCCAATTGATTGAGATCGCTGCGCATGCGGACTACTATCAACCCGCTTGTCTGCCCATATATGCCCCGAATTACGGGCCGGCTCTCCTACTGTACTGGTCCAACCCCCTTCTCTCCTCACTCTCTCCCTCAGTCCGACAGCCACCCTTTGCTGCGCTCACTTATTCCCTTCCTCAAAATGCTTCCCCAGTACGCGTTTGTTTCCACCCGCTCCCTCCCCTCCCCTCTCCTCTCCTCTCCTCGCCTCCCTCCCACTCACTCACTCACTCGCTCTTGCTCTTGCTCTTGAGCGCGCACCACTACACTAACACTGCGATCTGCCCCCTCGCTGCCTCTTCTGCTGCTCTCCTATCTTTTCTGTCGCTCTCACTCGTCTCCGCCCTTCAACTCTCTCTCTCTCTCTCACTCGTGCTGTCGGTCTTGTTGGGGCATGCGGCAATCTATGCTGGGTACTCTCCCCCCGCCTATGGATGCTCCCAGGAAGTAATCGCTCGCTCCGCTCAGCACAGCACGGCACACAACCCAATCCTCCCTTCCTCCCTCCCTCCCTCCCTCCCTCCCTCTACAAGCTCCGCCAGGTTCCGGCGACGCGCACCCGAGACAGATTGCTGCTCTTCTCTTGCCTCCTACCACCACCGCTTACTCCTCGCCCTCCTCTCCACTAGAGGCAGATCCGGCAGGCAGGCCATTATCTGCTAGCAGCAACATCAGCTCTCGGTCACTCGGCCGCAGTCAGCCCCACTCTACCCCCTCCCTCCCCCCTTCCCTCCTCCTTCTACTCACGACTTCAGACAGCCATGGCAGCCTCCCCGATCATTCTCTCCTCGGGTGACCGAACGAAAGGACTCTCTTTCCAACCGAACTGGAACTGGATTAGACTGGACTGGACTGAAGTGAACTGAACCAAACTGCACAGCTCGGCTGCGCTGGTTCTGCTTGGCAACGAACGCAGACTCTTGCTTTCCTTGGCTTCTTCTTCTGATGCAGCTGATGCTGTTGGTGGGAGGGAGGGAAGCCCAAGCTCAGGTTGTCTGTGCTCACTCGCTCGCTGGACTCGCTTCACTTCAGTTCACTGAGCTTCACTCGCATGGAGCTGCTGCTGCGCGAGTCTCGAGCAATGACAGTCGACGTCGCTCATGTTGGCGCTGGTCCGTCGTCGGCCCGCCGGTCTTTAACCTGCGATTAGCGCCCGGAAAGCGAGCGCACTTTTCATGTCCCGGGCCCCGTGGCCCGATCGCCGGCAGGAGTTGCGAGGGCCCGGGGCCTGCTGCCGGGACCGGGGACCGGGGACCGCCGGGGGCACAGATATTAGCCCTGGGTCCGGATAAGCACAGGACGGGTGAGGTGTCCTGTCTGTTGTCTGGCCGGCCGGCTAAAATAGCGGCCCGGGGAACTCGGCCGAGTTTGAAATCGGGGCGCGGCCAAGCGGAGCGGGGCGTGTGGGGGTGGGGGTGGGGGTGGGAGACAGACAGAGATATGATGAACCTTCCCCTGCGCAACCCTCCCGCCCGACCCGATTTTTCCTCCCTCGATAAATTACATACGGCTCGTACTGTAACCCCAGCCCCCGCCCCCCAACCCCTCGTAGCCTCGGACGCCCCCCTTCCGCTGCAATGAACGTACAGTCCCATGGCCATACGCCACCGCGACTCACGAAGAACGCAGAGATCCTTTAGAGCGAGAGCCCCCTCCCCGACTTTCAGCGCCTTTTCCCCCGTCTCCACGGGGGCTACATTTAGGGTGACGGCGGACATGGGGAATCGCGTGGTTGCGTGCCCGCCCGCCCGAAGCCCTCGCTAAATCAGCGACGCTGCCAAACGCAGTTCGGACCGAGTAAATCGAGCCCGACCCCGAGCCCCGCTGCCCCGGCCCGGCCCGCGGGGGTCGGGCGAGACAGGGACGAAGACGATGACGACGGGCAGAGGGGCAGGGCGAAGGGCATCTAGGGCGCATCTAGGGTGGGAGTCAGTCAACTAACTCTGTCCGAGGAGCTGCTGGCCTGTGCAGGCAGGGGGCCTGGGTCAAAGCTAGCCTCAGATAGAACTGGAGGTGCGCAGGGGCGGACGGACTTGAAACGAAAGGAAGAGCGGAGCCCCCAACTTGTCTCTAGCAGTGGAATGCGGTTTCCTTAAACTTACGCGGAACATGGGAGAAAGGTCAGGTGCGGCGGGCATTAATTGCAAGACGCTTCGCCCGGGCCCACTCCCCCCAAAAGAGGCCTCCGCGTTGGGGCTTCACCCGGCCCGGGATCCTCCGTAAGCCTACGTATGACACACAGCAGAGCACTAACTGAGTGCCGTCCGTAGCGAGTACAGACCTGTCCCTTCCCTTTGCCCTTCTGTGGGACCGTTACCCACCGCCGCCTGGTCAATGCACCCGTGGGTCCCCCCTCCCCCCTCCCTCCTCTCCCCTCTCCCCTCTTCCCAGTCTCGCTCCCTCCAATTTCACCCCTCACCCCCCACCCCCAACCCCCAACCCCTTCCCACAAGCCCCCATTTTAGCCTCCCGGGTCTCTCCTTCCGGCCAGTTAAGCTTGCCGGCAAGGGAAGGGGGAACGATAACCCCCATGTACCGAGTCCCTAGATTAGCCCTCCTAAGTGACGGTTTAAGTCCTAAGCCCAGCCCCTTACACCCACTCTCTCTAAACTCGAACCATCGTGTTGGGTACTACGAGCAGTGCTGCCTCTGCTCCCTGCTCCTGCTCCTGCTAGAGATCGGGTCCATGGGCAGGCGGGCAGGCAGGCACTGGGTTGGGTACACTATCTACAAAGTTCATGTCTCCTCCGTTTGCATGATGATGAAGTGACCTCGGGCCCCTTGCTGCCTTCGCAGTCACGCACTCTATCTCTCTCGGCACCCCCTTCCGTATCACTGAAATGTTTTCTTTTGTCCTGACAATAATAGCAGCAATTGTCAACATTCCCCGTTCCAGACACAAAAGAGCAGCAGGCAGCATGCAGTTAACTCGGCCATGACCATCATCTATGCTCCGCTCGTTCGTTCGTTTGCACTGAACCGTTTGGCATCGGCGTCCATCAACGTTGCGAATCTTCTTCTCTTGAATCTCTCGTCGTTCTTTTGGCTCGAAGTTTAATTATCCCCAGCCGGAAAAAGTGCAGCGAAATGGGGAGGGCGAAGATCCCTTCATAGATCAGAAGCATGAGACGAATATTGATGGCAGCGATGTCGGTCTAAACGGAAGAGAGATGAAACGGAGGCGATTCAGAAAGTGATTCAGAAAGTGCAGACGGTTCCGTTGGGTGTGGTTCGGTTCGGTTTGGCGGTCTGACCAGCGTCAAGAGAAGGTCATCTACTGAGTCTCTCGACTCTACAGCGGCTGAGGTGGGCCGAAGGTCGCTCGTCCTTCGGCGATCTTTCCCCACCTCGCAGCAGCAACAGCATGGTTTGTTTATATCTCCTGTATAAGTCAAGGACCGCTGCTGCTGCAGCTGAGGCTGGCTGGGTCGAGGAGGAGGAGGAGGAGCAGAGGCAGCAGCAGCAACGTTCAAACCACAGCAGCAGCAGAATTGTCGACCACTCCATCAAAGTGTGAGAAATTATGTCCTAAGACATGTCGCACATAACATCAATCCAGAGTCATTAAAGTGATGGCATTGCATGATAAATATCATCCCATGGCTTTCAAGTACAGTACAAACATAAATACGGGGTAACTCGATGTGCTCTACAGTTTGATATGGTGGGCTGCAGCACTCACTTCCTTCTCATCCGAAAAAATCCTGCTCTGGAAATCCTGGTACGTTTGTTGAGCGACAAAGGAAGGACGCCCACTACTAGCCCTCCAAGGCTCCAACCTTCCCTTGCGCCACCTCCTCTTCGGTGGGCGATGCCATCCCCTCGAGCCATATTTCCCCGCTGGAGTTGCCAACTTCCTTTGGGAGGTCAACTCACGGCGAGCTGGATTTTATATTCGGCGAAATAGTGCGCCCATTTGTTCATCTGCATATATGCAATAGTGGCCATGTGTGTGTTCAAACATGAGCGGCCTGCGAGCCAAATAAGTAAGAAATGTGTTTTTAACTCTTGTCTGATGTGCATATGCTTTATTGTTGCCGAGGATTGCGCAACTCCTATCCTTCTCCTCCTTTCGTCAGAGAGGCTGTTGCAGGTCTCGACCCGCATCCCTCCCTCCATCCATGCCACAAGCGAGCAACCCAGCTTAAAAAATGCCTTGCCCTCCTCCCTTCGGCCTCTGGAAGGCAATATTTCTGTGCAGGTCCCGGATCGAGTCGAGTCGAGTCAAGTCTTATCTGGCGCTCTCCACTGCCGAGTTATGCCACGGACGCATTAAATAAATCCGCCCCACTGACTGTTTCCATCTATGGAGTCAAGTTTAACATTATTAAAGCACATAATGAACTATGGAGAGAAACTTTTTGCGACTCATGCGCGCGCCCGGCTGGGCTGGGCTGGGCTGGGCTGAGCTGAGCTGCAGAGAGCATCACGGCTGCTGCTGCTGCTGCTGCAGCTGCCGAAAGATGTCATTCATCACGGATGTCTGAACAGGTGTGAATTTCACTATAAAGCGGTTTCTAACTTCTTCGCCCTTCGCCGAGCTGCAGTAAATGTCAATAGACGACGGGGACTTGATTCACACTTCAAGAATCAAGATGAACGCCAACAAAGCTGGTCTCGAATCCGGTCATTGACTTCCCTGTTGCAAGTCGCCGTAACAAACTCACGCCATCACCATGACCCCAGGGACGCAGAAGTGTATAAAGCCTGGTACATACTCCTGGCCTTGTTTTTCCAACATTACTGCTCTACACGTGGATTTGAATGAGATATTCTAGAATATGGTGAAATGCCTAAATTCGACCCATTTATTGAGATCGCCACATCTCAAGGGCCAATTTTCCTTCACCGACTTGTCTGCAGCGAGCATCACTGGCGGGGTGGCAACTTTCGATGAGCTATCCGGCCAGCGGAGAGTGATGTTAGATTGAGCTTGGGAATTGTGGACTTGAAAACATACGAATGCTCTGTCGATGTTGTTGTGGCCTTGTGCTACATGCTCCTTGGGGCCATCAAACACTATTGATAGACAGAGACGGATATAGATCCACGACTGAGACGGAGACGCAAGCGAGTGAACCGTCGCCCTTCGAAAGGTGAATGTTGTGTTGTGATCTGGTTCTGGTTCTGGTTCTGTTTCTGTTTCTCCCTAATCCATGGGCCATTCAATCGATGTGGATCCATTAGTTCGATCCATGGATGCCAGCGCGTGCCATGTAGCCGAGACTGGAGAGCTGGTGGAGAGGAATTGGGAATCGGGAATTGGGAATGGGGGCTGGTGTCGCTCGCGGGGTCAAAAACAGGAAAACAAATTTGACTTGGGAAAGCAGACGAGCGAGCGAGCGAGGGCGGTGGGAAAGATTCATGGGAGATGTAAGAACCAATCGGAAGCCCGAGTTTAAAGATAGCTTATGATTGCATTTTTCAAGGTTTTGGTCTAACTTCTTTGCCAAAGACCGATTCACTCGTGAGTAGTAAATGTATGATTGTGCTACTTGTGCTCATGATCAATGCCTTTTGTGAGAATATTTAATAGCCCCCTCCCCGTTCTCATTTACTCTATCGTTACCCCTTCTTAGCCCCCCACTAATTCCCTTCCATCATTCCCAACCTTATCCCTACCCCTCCCACCCTTGGACTCACTCAGCCCCTCCGTTTCCCCCCACCCCCCGTCCGCAGTCGTTCCATCTCACCCCAAATTCCTTCCTTCCTTCCTTCCGCCATTCCTCCATTCCTCCATTCCTCCATTCATTCGCTCATTCCATCTCTATGTCCGCCTGCCTCCTACGGTGCTCGATCTACAGCTTATCCACTGCAACCCGTAGCCAGCAGCAGCAGCCGAGCCCACTTGCTCTGGGCATGCCAACCTTAATGCTGTCCTTGAACGACCTTATACGATAGACAGCGCCTGCCATCCTCCATACCCAGTTACCAGCCCCCAATCGCCTCGCCCTCCTCCTCCTCATGGTCCAAATCTGGGCATTTGTTCCCATGTTTGGACAAGGTGAATGCCAGACAGCCTCAGGGTGGGTGGCTGGCTTGCTGCTTGGCCATGCTAGGCGAGGCGAGGAGACGAGACGATCACTGTGTAGATAGTGGGCTCCATAACTTCCATTCTAGCCGTGTACTTACTGAACATAAACCCTCGGTCGTCTTAACTGGAGCGTCGTCCTTCGGCCATGTACCACCTAATCCACTTAATATCTCGCTATGCCTCCATATTGATACTCCGACCCTTTCCTCAGCATGCCATGTACCTCACCACAACTGAATTCTTCCATAATTGTGTCCTAATCTAACTACCACCGAGAGCTACTTGTAACTTCTTCTTGAACTTCAAGCCCTGTCCCCTAGGCACGCAGGCCCGGTCCAGTGCCTCCAGTCCCACAGTGCCTGTACCTTTTCCGGGTGATTCAAATTCCATAAATTAGTCGCCTTCTCCATCCACCCACTTCCCCCTCCCCCCATCCTCCGTCCAGCTAACCACATGACTTCGCGTCTCTCTCCAACCTTAGTCGAGTCTTCGCCCAGCCCCCATCCCTCCCCCCCTGGGGCATGTACTACACATGCAAGGTTACCACGTTAATTACGGGGCTTAATGCAACGGACTGGTGCTAATTATTACAGCGCTGCGGGCATCGCATCTTTTGAAGAACTGAGCCTGCGTCCAAGTGGACTGTTACTGCACTGTAGCGCTTCTGGGCTGTCCCCCTTGTGTGTGGGAACCGAAAGAACCCCATTTCTTAACTTTGGACTTCAAGTCCCATGTGCGGGGCCTTATTCCCCTACCCTAGGCCTACAGCTTGTAGAATGGCCCCTAGCCCACTGCTATCCCCCCGCTATTCCCCTGCTGCTGCCGCCTAGCCCCCTCCCTCAGGACAAGCGTATTCCCCGCTGCCCGCCCGTCGACGCCCGAGTCTCCGTCTCTGTCCCTCCGGGATACACTCACCCCCCTACTGTACGCCCGCTGCTGTCGCTGGTTCGAACCTCCATCCAGCCCCTCGGACACCATGAGCCCCAGCCGCGCCTTGCCTTGCCGCCACAGCCCGGGGAGGTGCATCCCGCTGCCGCTGCTCAGGTCGACAGCCCGAGCATGTTTCTTCATGTTGCGACTTTCTCTCTCGCTCTCTCTTCTTTGGCTATCTTTTCGCGAATTGTCGTGTTAGCCCTCGTGGGGCAGGCAAACCCAAGTGGGAAGGGAGAGGGGGTTAATCATGACTCTCGCCCGATATCGGAATTATGTCTTTCTATTTCTTCTTCGCCTCTTCGGAAGCGGTTATTTTTTTCGCGACATTCATTCGGTGCTTATTCAGGCGCTCGGAGGCATCCATAGCGAATCCGGTGATTCTCACGCACCCCCTGCCGCCCTTCCTTTTCCCCGGCTCTCGACCTTTTGTTGGGGCGCTTTATCTTTTCAGATGCCCCACGGAAGGTGCACGAGAGGTCGCGATCTGGATATCCGGACGTCGATGGCCGGCGACATGGCCTGGCTTTGCTTGCAGAGTTTCCACGGGCACGAGGAAAGTGTTCATTCCGGGAGGTGGCAATGCGGTGCTCAATGGGGGCAGTGACTGGAAAGGAAATGAGGCGCCGGGGGCACTGTGGGTACAGTACCGGTATGTCGAGCAGCCGGTCAAAGGTATAACCTTGACCTCGGCCCCTCACGGGGCTCGACAGAACGCGGCGGGTAACGTCTCTTTTGGGGCTAAGAGGCGAGGCGAGCGCGCGAGGTGCGTCCGTTACTGACGGACGGACGTTTCCGCCGTTAAAAGAGCACCCGCCAGAGCAGAGCAGAGCAGACAGGCCCCCAGGGCCTGCAGGCGTCGATGGAGGGTCCTGAAACTCTGTGCGCGGGGGGTTCCAGTCTTTACTCCCCGTGAGGAAGGCTCCTGTCCTCGACGGGAGATAAAGCTTTGTCCCCCGACTCTGAACTGAATCAGCCGGTCGCGGTTCCCGAAGAAAACCGTCCGGAGCCCGGACTTCAATCCTCGTAGGGCAGGACGAGCAGGGGCTCTCGGCCCCTCAGAAGGAAAAAGAAGACGCAATCAAGGCATCCCCCAGAGAAGGCAGGGGCCCTCGTCCTCGCCCTCGTCCTCGTCCTCCTCTGCGTCCGTGTCCTTCGCGGCGGAGGACTGCGATCGGTTTCACGACGTGGGACTGATCCCGATCCCCGGGCCAGGACAAAGTCCTGGCGCTCAGAGGACGCAGCATTCAATTCGTTGGCCTTCTCGTGGTTTTTCGCTTCCTTGTCCTTGCGAAGGGAAGAACAAAGCCCGGACCGACCTGACGTTGCAACAAATTCCCCCGCAGGGGATATCCTGGCCGATTCCTTCGCCCAGGGGAAAAGGACGCCCCCGCTGGAGGGCAGGATTGGCTCCGAACTTTAGTCACAGTGCTACAGCAGCAGCCCCCCACCTCTGCCCTGAACTGTTCCGACTCGGCTAAGAACAAATCTGACACACCAAATCTCGCAGTCCTGCTTCCGATATCCTAACTTACAAAAGCGAGGTCAGTTTAAACGCGGCTTAACTCACGTTCACACATCTTTGTACGTACTCTCCAAGGAATCAGTACAGTCAGCTCATCCTTCGGAAGGATTTCCCTCGTGCCCCGAACACTTTGTCTCCTGAGCTCTGACCCACAATCTTCCTCGTCTGGCCAGTCACGCTAGATTTTCCGCCCTTCAGCTAATTTGTCTCTTTTTAATTCCTTATTCTTTTTCTCCTCCCATTGACATTGACCTCTTCGTAGCTCACCGATTAACCTTGCACTTTCCCAAAGTCAATAGGACATTTCTGTGAAAGGAGTGAGTGAGTGAGTGAGTGAGTGCAGACTTCCTCACAACTTTGAAACGATGTGTTTTGTAGAGATGGTGGGGAGACTCTCTGCGTTTGTATATCTCAACTACTATTTGCTCACCTTTATCACCTCTGGAGGAGTCACGTGTTTGAGGATTCGTGTTCTCAAAATAAGGCCATTATTTTGAAGCCTGTATGTCTCCATAGTGGTTTCTGTAATTATTCAAAGTTGGAGCCAAGTCCTTAAGTACACAAACCAAGTACCATGTTCATTCCTCATGACATTATGACCAACCGCAAGAGTACCAGCTCTTTTTATAAAAAATTACTCATGCACTTTGTGCTACACTCTGGGCAGATAGATCAGGCAGAGTGTCCGAACTTGAATGTTGTCCTGGCAGCAAACAATGAAATCCCATTTAGAGTTTGTTATAGTTTTCCTGTGATCATTTCCATCCGTTCTGATATTTTAAGAAATTATTCTCTCATTTTCATTCTCAAAATGCTCCACTTTATTTCTTTATGTAAGAAGGAACAATGTAACCGAAACCAAAAGAATATTCATCATATTCTTCTGTACGCAGGAACTGATTTTTTGTAGGGTATGTGTTTTGGGGTGTTTCAATGTTACTGACAGAATTCTGTGTACATTGAGAATGTCTGTTACGGCTTTGATACACTTGATGATATAAATAATACATCCAAAAATGTCTCCCGGTGTATTTGCAGCACAATATATGTAACCTGAAATAGCTCGATGTTATCATTTAAGAAATCATGAAGTAAAACGTAGAGACTATTTTTCGATCACATTTTCTGATATACTTTAAGAAGATTTCGATTCCATGCTCATGATGTGCTTAATGTATTGTCCTTTTCCAGGCGAATTTCTTCACTTGACTATGTACTGGACACTCCTGAAGATGAATTGCTAAAAAAATTTTGCAAGACCTTGCAAGCTACACTAAACACGTATCTATATGTCATTACTGAAAGATGTGATGTTAACTTAATCAAATCATACACATCATGTTATCTTGAAAAGAAAAATATTTTTAACATTTCGAGAATTATGAATATGGCACTAGATGCATAGATTGTATGGTTTCATGTATTTCTAAGCACATACTTTATAAGCGCAAGAACGATGCAAAAAGAAAGAAAGAATCAGGACTTCAACTTGATGGCTAAGATTAGATTATGAGGTGTTATAGTGATCCAGTTCATATATTGCTCACGAAATATCATCACTATATACATCTTGCAGCAAAATTTACAGGAT